TTTTGTGCTCGGGTTCCTACCCGAAAGCCGAAGTTACAAAGTGCTACTGTAGTAAAAGCGATAGACACCTTCAGGATACGGCAGACGCGTCGTTCAACCTATTTTAAGTCGATCTACCATCTCAATGGGTTTTGGTAATATATTATAAAGCTTGAAGAGTTCCACAGTGTGGCTTTAATATGTTAAATATGACTCCCACCTCACTTTTGACAAAGGTCAAAAGTAAAAATCAAACAATAGACAATGCATTTGTTAAAAAACAAAAGCAAAAAAACCCCCAAAACTTTATTGTGATTTAGTACAGACAATGAATGAGCATGAGTGTCTATAGACAGTAAATTCTGAGATGGGCTTGCATTATTATTGCTATATAAACTATACTGCATGAACAAATATTTAAAAGACAGGGATCAATGCAGCACCAGTTTAAGAAAGTTGGTTGCATTTGAAATACTTTGTATAGTATCACAAAGGTTTGGTGACTTAAACACAATCCATAGTACACAATACAGTTGAGGTGTAGTAAAAACCTCGTCTCAAATGATTCCCCTTTTGCCAAAATAGTTCTGACATGTTATACAGAAATTGTCAAGCTTTGTTTTTCTTCCCAAGGCAAGTGTAAATGTAACGGAGGCCAGCTAGTAGTTGCTGTGCAAGTAAAACCTCACTCCTCTGATCTCAATAGGCGCTCTAGCGACAGACGCTAGAGGCTGCAGTCTTTAGCCTCCTTGTTAGAGCGCCTGACTCTCATGCCGGAGACCCGGGTTCGAGGCCCGCTCGGAGCGGGTTGAGTGGGACCCGGGTGTGAGGGGTTACATTGGTGCCGTGACCCGGATGAGAGTGAGGTTTAGGGGGGTGAGTGTAACGGAGGCCAGCTAGTAGTTGCTGTGCGAGTAAACCTCACTCCCCGATCTCAATAAGCGCTCTAGCGACAGACGCTAGAGGCTGCAGTCTTTAGCCTCCTTGTTAGAGCGCCCGAATCTTATGCCGGAGACCCGGGTTCGAGGCCCGCTCGGAGCGAATTGAGTGGGACCCGGGTGTGAGGGGTTACATAAACTCCACCGCTCAGCCAATTTTACAGCACAATCATGAAGTCACCAGTCCAGAACTGACTTAAGAAAAATCATGGATGTACTACTGCAACAAACTAATTCTATCTCTGAGGATCCACTAACAACACTACATTAAGGTTAAGTTTAGGTTTAGGGTAGGGCTGCATGATTAATCGAAATTAAACTGCATGCAATTTGGGAAAGGCTGTAAGGAAATTTTCTTTTAAAGTGCAGCTTGTCAGTGAAGCACGGCTCTGTGGTCAGTAGTAAATGCTACTCCATCTGAAAGTCAGAGGGCGCTCTCAAGCAGAATCTCCAAATATACCCTGCAGAAGTACGATAATGCATGTCATTACAGGAAATCCCTATGGGCATCGTACTATCGGTGTAGCTTAAAGGGCAATTTTACAATTAAAGCCCTGTTTTAAGATCGTTTCTGATGAAATAGAACGGTTAAGACTGAAATTTGGACACATGCTGCTGGCCTGAGAATTCGGTTTCTGTGGTAGCACCCCACCTCTCGTGCCACGAGATCTCGCGAGACTAAAACATGACGAGATTTCCCATTGAGTGAAAAGCTGTCTCGCGATATCGCCATGACTGAGCGTGTGGGTGAGATTACAATATTCCACTGCTACTGTGCACTCACATTCGCTTAAACTATCGTTTTACTGTTTAATAAATGTATAATAAATAATATATCCTCATATATCCAGCTCATCCATTACGAGTTGCTGTTGCAAACAGTGCAGCACGAAACACAGTTCACTGATCGCGTGACAATGGCGGAGGATTCGTTGCGCAACATAGACTAAACTCTAATTGTCTTTTCTTGCAAGCTCAGCACCGCTGCTTCCTATACACAGAGTACACACGATCACCAATTTGAAATTAAAACGGCGCCGTGCACTGTCACAAAAAAGCTTTACACAGTCATGTCATGTGAACCGTTGTCTTGCGGGTCTTGGGCACCCAACTTGTCATTTTTGCCGCGCTCGTACGGACACGTCCAGTATGTTACTCCGTGACAGCGCACGCTCTGATAGGATGCACAGACCTCTCCCAATCATCTTCTGCACTCAGCCTCTGAAGCACCACTAAGTCCCCCTCCGTTTCCCCAAAGCCCGTCGGTTTCCCTCATACGCTGATATTAGAGTATTTAAACATTCTCTATGGCTCTATGGTATTTTTTTTAATGACACACTGTCTCTTTCTCTCTCTTACATATGTAGGCTAGTTAGTTATAAACTATTTAGACTTTTAATGATTAGTGCTTTATTATTAAAGTTTGTGGGTAAGAATCGTGTTCAAAAAAAAAAAAATCCCTCATTTTGGGGATGGAATCTGGGAAATCTCCCTTATTTTCAATGTTCAATGTTGACAGCTATGCTTCGAATATTGAGAGTACTGTAATGTCTTAAGGACAACAGACAAAGGGAGGCTGTGTTTCTGAACTTATAGGGTTAATGAACAGCATTAAAGGGTTAGTTCACCCAAAAATGAAAATTAAGTCATTAATTACTCACCCCCATGCTGTACCAACCCCGTAAGACCTTCGTTCGTCTTCGGAACACAAATGAAGATATTTTTGATTAAATTTGAGAGCTGTATAACTACCACATTGGCTCCTAAGGGACTGCCTCTTGATGGCCCAAAAAGTCAATGAAGAAAATGTTTAAATATCCCAAGTGACTACCGTGGCTCAACTATATGTTTATCAAGCGACGCAAATACTTTTTGTGCGAAAAAACAAACAAAAATAACGAGTTTATTCGACTATTTCTTTTCTTCCTTGTAGGCCAGAACGAGACTTCCTTATAGATTTCCACGACGCATGCGCGAGAATTGCGATCTGAAGTAGTGTAAGCTGGCGTAAGCAGATCGCAAATCTCGCGCATGCGTCGTGGAAATCTAAGGAATTCTCGTTCTGGCCTACAAGGAAGAAAAGAAATAGTCGAATAAACTCGTTATTTTTGTTTGTTTTTTCGCACAAAAAGTATTCGCGTCGCTTGATAAACATATAGTTGAGCCACGGTAGTCACTTGGGATATTTAAACATTTTCTTCATTGACTTTCTGGGCCGTCAAGAGGCAGTCCCTTAGGAGCCAATGTGGTAGTTATACAGCTCTCAGATTTAATCAAAAATATCTTCATTTGTGTTCCGAAGACGAACGAAGGTCTTACGGGGTTGGTACAGCATGGGGGTGAGTAATTAATGACTTAATTTTCATTTTTGGGTGAACTAACCCTTTAACCCTACTGCCGGTGCAAAATAAAACAGCAATTTCAAAACAATTATAAAGAGTCTGTGTGTGCTAACTTTGATTATGTTGCACTTGCACTTATTGTTTGCACTTCAGACTTCAATGAGTTCAGTTAGGAGGTCACACACAGCCTCAATCAGAAGTTCTGGAAGCTCTTAAATGTATAAGGTCTGAAGAGACTCATGTGAAATCAAACAGGAGAAAAGCCAGTCAATAAAAACCTTTTACAGTGCTTGTATATACTTTCAATGCATTTGATAATTCATACTTTAAGTAGACCTGAAATGACATGCATTAGTGCATTATTAGTTAAAAGATTGCAAAATGCATACTATTTTTCCAGTCATGAATTTTGTCATTGAGGATTTCTGAAAAATTGTGCAAAAATCTCGTCTCGTTCTCGTGAACCCAATCTCGTGTCCGGTCTAGTCTCGTGAGATAAGCGTCTCGCTACACCCCTAATGGTTTATCTAGGTTCTTTTTAGCCTTTTCGTGTATTTTCATGAAAATAAAGTTATATTTCAATACTAAACGACATATCCGCTTTTAAACGGTTTCTCACAGAAGGATGTTTTCAAACACTCAACTGACATTATGAAGTGAGTTTGGAGTAAAAACATGTTAATAAATGTTGTCTTTTGTTGGACAAGAGGTTCATAAATGCTTCTCATGTTTGGAAAGATGTTTGACACATGTTGCTTTTTCACATGTACGTTTATAAGCGACTCAAACTCACAGTGCTTTCAGATTTCCAACTGATCACAGAGCTTTGCTTGACTGACAAGCTATGCATAATGAAATGACTTTAAATGTGAATTAATTGATCTGTATCTTGATTGAATTAATCTATAAATTGAAAAAAATAAAAAAATAAAAGTGCCTTTAACTAAAGAAATAAATGGGTTATTGGGGTTATTATTGGGGCTTGAAACACCCTATTGAGATTGTTTTATTGAAAAATATGGCTCTGAATAAATGTAGATGCTTAATGTTTATACACACTAAGATTTGGAAGAAGTTTACCTACTTTAAAGTATATGTAGCTTGTAGATGCAACTTGCAAACTACAGTTTTAAAATAGCTTCCCAACACTTTTTCAAGGTTTTCTGTAATTGTGGGTTCCCAGCTGTGATCAGTGCAGAAAGCACTTAGGTTAAAGTTTAGGATTATAGATTTATACTGAAGCCATTTGTGCTATTGACTTATTTTCATGTAAGATTCCCATACTCTCCAAAGATTCAGATTAATTTCCCATTAAAATATTTGTAGATCATGGACTTCAATGACAATCACTTTATGAATAACGTTATGGACTTTTTTTGCACTTTATGGGTAAGTGCAATCAGCAGCAAGTAAATAAATCTTTTTAATGTGGGAGCCTATATTTTTAGATCTTTAGAGGGAAGTCATGTTAAAGCTCTGAATCACTTGTTGAATCAACTGAATCAATTGTTTTTCACTTCACCAAGGTTTGGTCAGTCATATAATTGTTACATTTTTATATTAAAAATCAACCACTGAACCATGAAACTCCATGACAAATGTCTAATTTCTTAATGTGGAGAAAAATTATTGCTCTTGATTAAATTATGGAAAAAAACATTGAAAAGGGCTATGTGGAGACTCTTCAAAGAAAGAAAGCAGCATGTGTTGGAACCACATGAAGCTGAATAAGACAGAATTATCATTTTTGACAGAACTATATTTAATACCCCTGCAACCAGCAAGTTTGGCAACTATCTTTGAAATATTTAGCAATAGTGCAAACGATTACAATAAAAGCCCCATATCTGACAAACTTTAGATATATCTTAAATCAAATAGAAAGATAATTGATGTGAAACACATGCAACCAAAACCCAATGCATACAAAAATGGATTAAGCACAATCAAAATAAGCACAAAATAATAATACTCCAAACGTTCTCAAGAACATCAGGTGAAAAACAGACTCTGTAAACAACTGTCATTATAAACCATTCAGAACCACAAAAAAGGCTTGCATACTGAAAATTTAAAATGGTTAAATGACAAAAAGAAGTTTCAAAACTGCTACCCAACCTTAATATAAAATGTTATCTCTGTTACAGGTTATCTATTTGTACATTTCAGATTACAGTTAAGCTCAGATGGAACAGAAACCCTCACGCTGGGTCAACATCGCAAGCAAATGATGCAATGCAACAAAACTGAAACATTCTCATTTTAAATTTAAACATCTGTCTACAGTGCTGCAAGCATGTTGACAACTGGAATGTTTTCGTTTTTTTTACATCTCATTGCTTGTTTGCAGTGTAGACAACGTACAGTTTAACTTGAAAGTTAGGAGTGTAAAAAACCAAATGATAAACATGGAACCAATAACCAAGAGGCTTATTTACTAAGAAGTAAAAGTAACTAATGAGAAATAAACAATATAATCCAATGGTGAAACCTAAGTGTCTCCGTGTTGATATAGGCAGTTAGGATGGAGTTTTATTTAATTTTTTAAATATGGCTAGCTTATGGACTTACTTTTACCCACACCCATCCAATCAGAGTCCCATAAAGCCAGGTATTGAGATAGAGTTTTCTACCTAACTCTGTTAACAGCATTGGTAAAGTGAGACCACCCAAAATCAGCAGAGAAGGCAATGTCTTTGTAAGACTAAGAGGTAACTTTCGACCTTCTCCAGGGAACCTGCACTTTTTCTCAGGGTCTTCAGACTCGTAGAAAGTGGTAAGAAGCCTAAACAAAGAGAGTAACACATTTGTAAAACATGCTTTGAACATTTACTTCAATGCAACTAGATTTAATGGCAGTGACAGGTCTAGAATGCCAAACCAAACAGCAATGTAGCGTGATGAACTCCAACAGTGTGCAGATTACAACAACATGACACAAATAGCAGTTTTACACTCAAAACACTCTCCAAAATCCTTAACTACTTTAAAGAACAGTAAGTAGTCAACCAAAAAGCCAATGTTTTGCAATTCTTCTGGCAGGATCATTTTATTTGTGCTAAATACAACCCAGTCACAAATGAAAATACCAAGTCACTAACAGGATGTGCAAAGGGAGAGTTAGCTTCTTTGCTCAGTAAAGCTGGAATTTGAAATTTTAATTTCTACATAAAGAAAAAAAAACTATTTAAAAATTACTAGTAGTAATAATAACAACAACAACAATAATAACAATAATACGAAATAACAAAAAATAACGACGGCCATGGTCTGATCTTTGACAAATCAGCGGAAAAGTGCATCTCATTGCGGCCTACATGTACAGTGATGTGAATAAGTCTGGACACCCATGCTAAAGTTGCCTAAAAAGAGGAATAAAAAAAACATCTTTTGGATATTGATCTTAATGCCTAAATTAGAAAAATGAGGAAAACTCCAACCTTTAAGGACAAAAATTTTCTTTGTCAATGAATAATCTCTCATAAATAAATAAATAAATGTTTTTCCTTAAAATACAGGGTGCATAAGTCAGGACAGCCCTATGTTAAATTCCCATAGAGTCAGGCAGATTTTTATTTTTAAAAGCCAGTTATTTCATGGATCCAGGATAATATGCATCCTGATAAAGTTCCCATGGCCTTTGGAATTAAAATAGACCCACATCATCACACACCATTCACCATGCCTTGAGATTGGCATGGGGTAATTTCCATAAGATCATCTTTCAATGCAAATCAAACCAGCTATTAGGCTAACTGAAGTAAAACCATGAGTGGTTTGGGGTGTTCACTGATATGCTCACACAAAAATCGCTGCAAAAGTTGTGGGGATATTTTAATTCCAAAGGCCATGGGAACTTTATCAGGATGCATATTATCCTGGATCCATGAAATAACTGGCTTTTAAAAATAAAAATCTGCCTGACTCTATGGGAATTTAACATAGGGGTGTCCTGACTTACTGTATGCACCCTGTATTTTTTTTTTTTATTAAGGATTTTCAAATAATACAAACATCAAAAACAAAAATAAACAAACAATCAACAAACAAACCCCGGGCGCTGCAAGTTGAATAAATTGTACAATATACAAACATGTCAGTATTGCAACCCCCCCATCCTCCCCCCCCCCCTATCACCTTGGGAAGAATAGGTTCCAATCTACGAGCTAAAACTTTTGCTAATATCTTATAGTCCACGTTAAGCAGACTAATGGGCCTATAAGATGAACAGTCCAGAGGGTTTTAACTTTTTTTAGGAGTAAACTAATTGAAGCTTGTCTCCACGAAGGGGAAACTTCACCCTTCCAGATACCATTAATCGCAGGCATAAGAATCAGATGAATATTAGGCCAGAATTTTTTGAAAAATTCCAGTGGAAAACCATCTGGACCGGGACATTTCCCGTTCGGCATGGACTGAATTGCTGACCAGACCTCCTCTACTGAAAACGGGGCACTTAAATTAATACGATCATCCTCGGAGCATACCGGTAACGTGAGATCACTCAAAAAGGCAGCGATGTTAGAATCTTTTGCTTTTGATTCGGAACTATAAAGAGATTTATAGTATTCCTTAAAAGTATTGTTTATGGTTAAAGTGTCACTCGAAGAGATACCACTTGTATTTCGTATCATATTAATTGACCGGTTATTATTCAGATTTTTTAATTGGTATGTCAATAACCGACTAGATTTATTGCCAAATTCATAATACTTTTGTTTAGTGAAGAGCAGAAGCTTCTGAATATGCGAGGTATGGTCCATATTTAGTTTAGTTCTAGCATTCACCAAGGCTTTTAAGTTCGACACAGTAGGAAATTGCTTATGTATTTGTTCCAATGTGGAACAAATCCTCTTTTTCAAGATTTTTCCTGTTGCGGTCTTTGACTCTCTTAAGGTGGGAAGTGTAGGAAATTAGGTGACTGCGTAGAGTGGCTTTGGCTGCATCCCAGATCATGGCAGAGGACAGTGGAGAATTTCTGTTATCCAGCCAATATTGAGACAGACTGTCTGAGACGAAGGCAGAGAAGGGATCACTGTTTAAAAGGGATGTATTAAACCTCCAGTTGGAAGTTCTAGGAATACTGAATGCAGGGTCAATTTGTAAACGCACAGCAGCGTGATCTTATAAGACGATGGGGTCAATATGACAAGACTGAACTGCATGCAGAATATTTTTAGGAAGAAAAAAATAGTCAAGCCTGGAATATGAATTGTGAGGATGGGAATAAAATGTATAATCCTTCACTTTTGGATTTAGTTGACGCCATATGTCTACTAAACCAGAATCCGAACATAAATTGTTGAGCGCCTTAGATGATTTAGGATTTGATACATTTGCAGATGAGGATTTATCTAGAGAAGCATCCATTATACAATTAAAGTCTCTGGGTAGAAAACCTAAGCCTTTACAGTGGTAAGTAAACAATAAAATCATCTGAGATATAAAGTGAGGGGAGTCTACATTTGGAGCATAAATGTTGAGGATAGCTATATGGTGATTGAGAATGGAGCCCGTGATCAAGATAAATCTCCCTTCAGGATCCGATTCCTTATGTTCTAAAATAAAAGGTAGATTTTTATTAAAAAGAATGGCTACCCCTCTTTTGTTCTGAGAATAAGAGGAAGAATAAACTTGGCCCACCCAGTCTCTCCTCAGCTTTGAGAGTTCAATGTCGGATAATTTTGTTTTCTGAAGCAGTACTATGTCAGGTTTCTGTTTTTTCAAATGAGTTAAGATTTTTTTCCTCTTAATTACATGTCCAATCCCTTGAACGTTCCATGTAATAAGTTTAAGTGAACCAGCCATAAAGAGTGCGAATTAATCGTGCAGATAAAACTGAACTATTAGGCACTGTAATACGGCAGAGAGTTGGCCTACAACTGACAAGTAAGACATAGAAAAACAACTTGCAACCCCACCCCAACTCTATCGGATAGAGTCTATCCCCAAACGACAGAGTAAAATCCCCCAGAATGAAGTCAACAAACATAATTATCAAAATACAAAACCAAAATAAATTCAAAGACCACCAAAACAGTTCGGATGACAGAGATAATGGCCAAACCAAGGAAAGTGTAAAAATAACATTATAAGACCCCCCCCCCCCCCCAAAAAAAAATGGAAACTATAATATAAACAGAGAGCTATGTTTGAAATAAAATCAAACCATACTAGTTGTTACCTCTTCAATGAGGTTAGTTCTGTTGAATATTATCAGAAGAATGGCAAAAGTAATGGCAAAAGTACTCACTATGTCAAGACAGTATTCTTACATTCCTACCAGACAAAGGAAAATTGAATATCTCAAGTAAGAGTTTCCAAAAAGGTGGCGGCTGCATCGGGGGTATCGAAAAGACGAATCTGCCCGTTGTGAAGACAACGGAGCCGCGCCGGATAAGCGAAGCCGCGATACATGTTGCGACGAGCCATCAGCTTTCCAACGGAATCAAACTCACAACGTTTTCGCAGGACCTCCACCGACAGGTCGGAGTAAAACCTTAATCTGGATCCACTGTAGATGATATCACGCTTCTGCAGAGCTGCCCTGAGAACCGCTTCTTTCTGGGAGTATCTGAGAAATCGTACTAGGATACTTCTTGGCGGCTTGCTTGCGTCCGGGCTGGGGACTAGAGCACGATGGGCACGTTCAATCTCCAGAGGGGGAAAGTCAGCAGGTAGGCTGACTAAAACTGGAATATTCGTTTGGAGGAAGTCCATGAGTGAAGTTGAACCCTCCGCTTTCTCCGGGAGATTGACAATTTTTAAATTCTTCCGACGTCCGCAGTTCTCTAGGTCGTCAACCTTCAGCTGTAGGGTATTCAGTGTCTTTTGCATAGCTGTTAATCGACCGTCGTGATTATTGCATAAATTCTCCGCAGTAGAGATCCGAGTCTCGGCTTCATCCATTCGCGTTTCCAGATCTGTTGCCCTGTTGGATAGATTTGAAATAGAGAGTTCGATCGAACCGATTGATGTTTTTATGTCACCCAAAGTACTGTCTATCGTGTCCAGATGAGATTCAACAGATTCATTCATGTTATTGACACGCGATGCTACTGATTGGATTTCCGTCAAAATCTGATCCATTGTTGCCGTGCCGATAGCTCCCACAGGGCTCCTTTCGCCCATAGTATCGCCATGGTGATCCTCAGCAGAGGAACACGCGGTTGGCTGAGTCTTAGTTTTTTCCTCCCTATAGACGAGCCGGGCGATGAAAAAATCTTTGTCGCGAGGAGGTTTAGGCATCTTTTTAGGCAACTTTAGCATGGGTGTCCAAACTTATTCAGATCACTGTATAGATAGAATTTTCAAGCTGTTCATTAATTTTCTACCCCTGAACGCTGTCATTGATATAGTTTGCTATGGTCAAGATTTTCCAACCATATAAGTTTGAACATAGCAAAATGTTTGTGTCTTTTATAAAGGAAACTCTAGCTTAATCTGTGATAATCACATTTTTCAGCAGACTTTTTAATGCTCAAGCTGAATTCTTCGTCCTAACGTTTGTCCCGCGCAGGTGCAGGGTCCGCTTTTTGGCAGGCTGCTCTCCATTTATTCCGGTCCGTAGTGTCCTCCGGGGCGACTTGCACGTCCTTCATATCTTGCTTGATCCGGTCCATCCATCTCATCTTTGGGCGGCCACGTGGCCGGTTACCGGGTGGGTCAAGGTGCATAGCTGTCTTCGCCACTGAGTTCTCATGGCTGCGTGTTACATGGCCGTACCAACGGAGACGGGCCTCAAGCATCTTCTCCGTAATTGGCGATATTCCTATACGCTTCCTG